TGTGTTGCTGTACTGCTAAAAGCTATGTCACTGGTATTTCAAATGCCAGCAGGGTCACCTGAAGTGAACAGGTTTCAGCAGAGCTCCCAGACTGAGAACAAGCAACAAAGAGGGACCCAGCTGCCCCCTTCGGAGTAAGTAGTCACTGAAAACCTCACGCATAGATGCTGAGGGCCTAATGAATGGGAACAGAGCATTGTTGGAGATCATGCTGGAGGATGGGCTCCTCACTCCTCAGGTCGGAGGGCACTTAAAATATGAATGAAGCGGAGCTGATTTTCAGAGTGGATGTTTGTTGGGTAAAACCTATGGAAGTGGAGCCTTCATATCTTCATTGGGTGATGGGGCATGGCTCAAGCTAAGGAGAAATAACTGCACAAAAATCTGCTAATGATCAGAACTTGGAATGTGCAAAGTATGGATCTAGGAAAATTGGAAGTTATCAAAAATAAAATGGAACACATAAAGATTGATATTCTAGGCATTAGTAAGCTGAAATGGACTGGTATTGACCATTTTTAATCAGAAAATCATATGATTTACTATGCTTGGAATTACAAAATCAAGAGGAATGGCCTGGCATTCATTGTCAAAAAGGACTTTTCAAAATTAATCTTGAAGTACAACGCTGTCTGTGAGAAGATTATATTTATCTGGTTTTAAGGAAATACAATCAATACAATTATATTCAAACTTATGCACCAACTACAAAAGCTAGTGTTGAAGAAACTGGAGAATTCTACCAATACTTTGGTTAGACTGATCAAACTGATCAAGGTGCACTGATAATTATTGACAACTGGAATGCAAAAGTTAGAAACAAAGAGGAAGAAACAATAGTTGGAAAATATGGATTCTGTGATAGAAATGAACCCGGAAATCTCATGAACACATACTTACCCATAGATAATACACATAGACTTCTCCATATGGAATACACAGAAGTCAAATCTACCACATCTGCTGGAAGACCCGGTGGAGAAGCTCAATATCAGCAGCTAAAATAATTGCTCATATATAAGTTTAGGTTAAAGCTGAAGAAAATTTAAACAATTCCACAAGAGCCAAAATATGACCTTGAGTCTATTCCATCTGAATTTTGAGAACATCTCAAGAACAGATTTGCCTCATTGAACACTAATGACAGAAGACATGATGCGCTGTGGGAGGACATGAAGACCATCATCATATATGAAGAAAGCAAAAGGTCATTAAAAGTAAAAGAAAGTATC